GAAAATAATGCTCTGTCTCCTACCCCCCTTCCTGTTTTTTCTTTAAGTATCTGGAGAATGGGTGCTAAACCTAAGCAGATAAAGATCAAAGTCAATAGATAGACTGCTAAGACAGGAAGGATGCCACTCAGAAAACTGTTAGCACCCTCATTGATAGAGTCCCCACCAACCTAAATCAAGATTGAGTCCATTAGCATATGAATTGAATTTGTGTATGTAATGTAATTCCAAGCTTTCTCTGTGAATTTGGCTTGAGGAGCTGGCTTGTGACAAGACCGCCACTTGCAGATCTGTCAGATTGTGGTTAGAAAAACAGAAATGTTCTCCAACGGGTTTCTGAGTATTCCCTTTACATATATCCGATTTCTAGTAACTACTGAAATAAAAATTTCTGTTGCTATTGTCTGGTCACAAATGGGTTAAGTTGAAACTGTAATGGAGCGAGGGTCCACAGAACCACAGGGTTGGAAGAGACCTCAGGAGGTCTTCAAGCCCAAACCCTTGTTAAAAGCAGGACCAATCCAACTAAATCATCCCAGCCAGGGCTTTGTCAAGCTAAGACTTAAAAAACCTCTAGGAATGGAGATTGCACCATCTGATTAAGCAACCCATTCCAGTGCTTCACTAACTCTTCTAGTAAAATAATTTTTCCTAATATCCAACCTAGACCTCCCACACTGCAACCTGAGACCTCATTGTGTCATCCTTCACCCACTCTTCTGTAGACTAAACAAGCCCAAATCCCTCAGCCTCTCATAGGTCATATGCTCCAGCTCCCTAATCATTTTTTATTTGTTCCTGTCCCATAATCATTTTTGTTGCTGGACTCTCTCCAGTGTGTCCACATGCTTTCTTTAATAGGGACCCAGATGGGAAGTAATTCTTCAGATGTGACCTTACCAGTGCCAAATAAAGGGAAATAATCACTTCCCTAGATCTGCTGGCAATGCTCTAACTAATGCACCGCAATATGCTGTTAGCCTTCTTGGCTACAAGGGCACGCGGTTAAGTCATATCAAGCTTCTCAGCCACTGTAATCCCCAGGTCCTTTTCTGCAGAACTGCTGCTTTAGCCAGTCGGACCCCATCCTGTAGCACTGCTTGGGATTCTTCCATCTCAAGTGCAGGACTCTGCACTTATCCTTGTTGAACCTCATTAGATTTCTTTTGGTCCAATCCTACAATTTCTCTGTCCCTTCCCTCCAACATATCTACTTTTCCGCCTAGCTTAGTGTAATCCGCAAACTTGCTGAGGATGCAATCCATCCCTTCATCCTGGTCATTAATAATGTTGTCGAACAAAACTAGCCCCTGAACCAAACCTTGGGGCACTCTGCTTGATACCAACTGCCAACCAGACATCAAGCCATTGATCACTACTAGGGCTGTTGAGCAATTTAAAAAATTAATCACGATTAATCACGCGATTAAAAAATTTAATTGCAATTAATCGTGCTGTTAAACAATAAGAAGACTCCAGTTGACCCAGGGCTCCGAGTTGCACTGCCCCTTTGAAGCACCACCGCAGCATTTCAAAGGGGCAGCGACACAAGAGTCCAGGATCAGCTATGTGGCACCGAGTCCCCAGCTGACCCCGGCTCCGTGCAGCTCTACCCTTTTGAAACGCCGCCCTGGCATTTCAAAGGGGCAGCGCCATGGGAGCCTGGAATCAGCTGTAATCCCCAGCTGATCCCAGGCTCTGCTCTCATTGCCTCTTTGAAATGCAGCCCCAGCATTTCAAAAGGGGAAGCGCTGCAGGGATCCTGGGGTCAGCTGGGGATTCCAGCTGATCCCAGGCTCCCACTGCGCTGCCCCTTTGAAATGCTGGTAGGGCCCTACCAGCATTTCAAAGGGGCAACATCACAGCAATGCCTGTGATAAATGCGTTTAAAAAAATTAATGCGTTAATTGTGCTCTGCATTAATTGCAGGCGTTAAAGCGCATTAATTGACAGCCCTAATCGTCGGGCTCAATGGGTAGTGATCTAGCCAACTTTCTACCCACCTTACACTCTAGTTCACTCATCTTGTTATTTAGACTTCTAGCATTTGTATATAAGCACTTTAAAAATTTGTCATTAGTTAGCTATCTGCCATTGCATGATGTAATTGAATGGAACTCTTCATTTGGCTCTTTCATCAGATCTTATCCAGATTTTATCATCTTCCATTTTCTCCTCTTTACTAGAACAGAGAATCTCTATTAATAGACCCTCCCTTAAGGGATGTCTGACTGATCCATGTGCTCCTCTACACCGGTTGGCTTTCCCCCAGCCCTTCATTTAAAAACTGCTCTACAACTTTTTTCATTTTAAGTGCCAGCAATCTGGTTTCCTTTTGGTTTACGTGGTTTCCTGTACAAGCAGTCCCCGACTTACGCGGATCCGACTTATGTCGGATCCGCACTTACGAACGGGGCTCTCTCGCCCCGGAGCTCGCAGGCAGCGGTCCGCCACCTCAACCTCCGGGGCGAGAAAAGCTGCTCCCGGTGCCCCTGGTCTGCTGGGGACCGTCTCCAGCAGACCAGGGGCACC